TCTCCTTAATTGCTGTCACTAATGACTCCGGAGACCTACACCTACGCACTCGTGTGCGTGGATCGAAAATCTCCGGGCTAATTGACTGCTTTGTTGCGTCACATGGAACCGAGATGGAAGCACCGATAAGTCATGGCGCTCTTAAGTAAATAATCGTGTCAAGTGTGAAAGGCGACAAGGGATTTTTTCCTTCACTTACGCCTCCGCAGTGGCGTGGAGGTGTGAATTCATGTCTCCCCCTGGAAATACGTGTAGAAGGACTTTACTGGGTGTCCCAAAAATTCAAATATCATTCTAGAATTTCGATGCGGTGGTGGGGATACTCGTCCGAAATTGGTCGATTTTTGCTGGCATCGAGTTGCAGCGGGGAATTTTTTTGCTTTTTTTTCCCGCCTGGAAAATTTCCTCGCGTGTATCGAATCTGAGGAGCCTGGTGATATTTTTTCAAATGATATCATATCGGATGTGTTGCGATGAGACGGATGGCGAACTTCTATTCTAAGGATACAACCGGGCCTGTAAATAATAATAATAATAATAACAATGAAAACTTGATACTAAAAGACAATAAACGCGAGTTACGGTCATACATTAGGCATAAAAACGAGGAACTGACGGAAGGAAATGGCCGTTTCTCCCATCTACGAGAACCACTCCAAACGACTCGGAAAAAAAACCTTTTAAACCACCCAGTAGAAACCCCGTGTTGACGCTCCCGGAATCGCGGGCGAAGTATTCTCCGTGACCTCATCTCACGACGTATGGACCAATCCCATGTAAAAAGAAAATAAAAAGTTATCCCCACAGATACGACTCTCTCCCTCTTCCAATTACAAGTCCTTTCTCTCGACTCTGCTTCCCCCAACACTAATTACAACCACATTCCTCATCCACGCGTGGGCACGATTGGACGTGGAAGGTGTTTTAACACTCCGTTAAGGCCACCTTCCCTTTTTTCACTCCATCGGGGCGTGAGGAAACAAAGGACCGTGCCAGCCGGGGAGATTCTTAGATGATTCCCCCGTCATCACCACCATCATCAGAAGCATTATCATAGTAATCATCACACCTCGTGGAAAGCATCGCCTCGGCTTCTTCAAGCCTCTCACGACCTTATGAATTTTAAAGCCCTTCTCGCAGGCATCTTTGTTGTAGCCGCTTTTCTCGGTTGTTTGCATCGTAATTTCTTCCATCAAAGATTCTTTTTTCCTAGTTTTGCTTCAGGACTGGACGTTATATACATTTGTAGTATTTCTTTGTAGCGGCTATATTACGATGATGTTGCACCATCTGAAATATATATTTTTTTTACTTTTAGAATTTGTAAGACTCTTCCTTCGTAGTATTTCGATGCCTGTAACTCTACTGCACATCACCATTGCATTCTTTTAAATCCCAGCATTTAAGAAATTTACAATGGTTTGATAGCTACAACGGCTAGACCCAGCCAGCAACAGACAAGACTTAGAGAACATTGCATAACAGTGGGGCCATGAAACTGAACGAGGCCTCGGCCTCGTTATCCCTGGAGACTTCGACGCGCGGATGACGGTCGTGAGAAAATCCATATTTTCTTTATTTGTTGCCCCGCACGATCGTCTCGGTAGCATCAATGGAAAGAATGTGGCATGGAGGGGGGAAGAAAGAAAGCAAGAAGAGGGAACATGTGATGTGACATGTTATAGGGAGTTGATGGGTCTGGATTCCATTTTTCGATTAGAGGGCGCCTGGGATGCCCAAGAATGCGGGCTATTTCGTCCAGTCATCCTAGGTGGCTCTATACCTGCTGAGAAAGGTTTTTTTTTTTTTCCTTTCCTTGCCACCTTTTTCACCATATAGAGTGTTAAGACGATCTCGGGGGGGGGGGGGGGGGGGGGGGGGTGNGGGGGGGGGGGGGGGGGGGGGGGGGGGGGGAGAGGACACTATCATCTGTTTACATTACCCGCGGCTTTTAACACGGCAGGTCTCTTTGAGGCAATTCACTCGATAGCACCTTTCATCTCGATCCGAGGCCATAATAACAGCCTTGTTGGTTTTTTTCTTTCTCTCTTTCTCCCCCGTGTCGGCCCAAGAGTGGTTGTTAAAAAGTGGGCTCAAGCCACTCATAATGTGGGCATCGGGCCGTTAAAAGCGCACTGCATCAATTGAATGAGCCATATAAAAAAAGGCTGTCAGCGGGTCCATTAAGAGAAGGCGGTGGGCGGACAAAGGCAAGTGATTGCCTCCCCTTTACGTCGCATTGGAATGTGTCATATCCCCAGGTGTCGTCCGAAGGCCTCGGCGAGGCGATTTTCCACACCATTAACAGATTCCACCCATCTCCTGCAATATCAACATTTTTTCCAGTGTCAATATGTGCCAAGTGCATAACGCGGCCGTTATTCTATAAGGAGCGTCTTCAAAGCTCAATGATTTATTATGCGGATGACAAAGGCACAATTATGGGGGAAAATTTCGCTGCGGTCGAGAAGCAGAGAGGCGAAATGACTGGTGATAATGTTAGAGAGGAGAGGTGCAAGTCAGGTTTCATTATACGGCGGGCATTGTCCGCGACCGCATGGGGTCCGACTCCCCATTACATCTCCCTCGAGCTACTCCAACACTGTATACACATTGCATGGGAGCCGTATAGCGATCGGCACCGAGACTCTGCAGGTCCTTGTTAAAGGCCTTGATTAATCTCCCATCTCGGGTGAGATGGCCCTCCTCCGACGCTCGCCCGTGCGACCAGATATCGGTTTGCGCCGTCACGATGTTATTCTATGGGGGGTGTCATGGAGAGGGGAAAAATGGGGTCTGATCGATGCGTCTGCATATGCTCGCATAATAAGGAGAATATTCGCGCCTCTGCCTCTGCTCGCACCGATGGGAAATACGCCACCTGCTTCGTCCCATTCGATTCCTTTTAATGAGCACCTTGTTTGCTCCTCCTCTTCCCACACACGGGGCGGACGAGTAATGACTCTCCGACGTTGGGTCTCGATCGATGGATTGTTTTTTCCCTTTGCATAATATAGGTGGGAAAGAAATGTGGCATGACGTGTTTGTTTTCTTTTGTCGTCGTGCTGTTCATGTTTTCTTGGTATTTTTTTTTCATCCATTCTTACACACTTCGGAGACAAAGGGTGGCAGAGAGGCGAATCGTGTTCTTGCTACAGAGACTAGAAGAGAGCTAACATGGACTACCCAGAAACTAATGTATTTCACTTCTTTTTTGCATACGAACCTGGAAAATATATATATCATCATATTTACGGGGAAAAAAGAAGAGAGGACCAGCTACAGATCCCATGTGGTGGCACGGCCTGCGCATTCTATACTTTATTGCCCACTTTAAAACGCATTTTATCCAATCTGGCGCGAAAAATCTCTTTTAAAACTTTCCCTATGAATGCAGTACATCCTAATACCCTCGAATGATGTGAATTATCGAGATCGAAAGCACTGCCCGACTTCACAATTCGAAGATTTCTCATTAAAAAAAATGTATGCACGACAATATATCAATATATAAATATTTATAGTCGTGTAATAAAGTTAACTGTTAGGGGCTGATATGTTGACTTTTAATTGGACCGCTATTAGTCTCTTTCACTCATCACGCATCAATTATTTCCACTCGATGGGAGTGAGAAACCCAACTTCCAGGAGCTTGTGTAAGAGAGTGCAGTCACTCGACGAGAAGAGACTGTTGAATTCGCTAATTAGAAATCGTCCTTGTTTTGGTTGAGGGTGGCGAACCGAGAGACAGCTGCGGTCGTGACCCTTCAGCGATTTAAAGCAACTCGATTGAATGAAGCCCACTGGTTGATCGAGTTTCCCCAATAATTTCATTTTCTCCTTTTTACCTCCTTTTGCAGACGTGTGCACGCACAATACAGCACCGTCGGTGAGCAGCATAAACCGGATCCTGCGGAACCGAGCGGCGGAGCGGGCGGCAGCGGAATTCGCGCGATCCGCCCACGCCGGTTTCTCGCTCTTGCCGCCTGGGTTGGGCGGGAGGCTTCCGTGGCCACCCCCGTTGCACTTCCTCTGGCCTCCCGCAGGACCTCCTGGGCATCCACCACCCCACGCCCACATCCCTCCGCTGGGGCTCGCACTCCATCCGCTTCACTGTCCGCCCTTCCATCAGATCTCACACGCGAACTCTTCCTCGCCCGATTCCAAATTCAAGGTCTCTTCAGGTGAGGAATTTTTTCACGAAAATGTGTTAGCAAGGATCGCTTCCCCCGGTGGAAAAAGCACAATTAACACGCAGTACATCGAGCGAAAAAAAGTTAAGACAAAAGCAAAGGGAAAAAAGAAAAAAAAAACATATGCAAACATTAAACATGCTGGCAAACATTAAAGGCTGCCGATATTACTTCGTCAGCATTTAGGGAAGAGATATGCTAAAAGTCTCCAACGTCCCAAAGATATGAGGGCGAAGGGGGGGGGGGGATAAAGAAAACTTCGGGGGTTTGCAACAACAAGCCTTTGTCATCGAGGACCGGAAGGCTTATATTTATCCGTCTTGTGATTGCAGAGGATGGATCGGACTCGACCGGGGAGGACGGGGAAAAATCTGAGGAAAGTTCAAGCGAATCGCATTCCAGGGCCCCTCCAGCCTCCCTCTCGAACGCCCACTCCCACCACCATCACCGCCGCCCCCACCACCACAACCATCCTCCCCCCCAGCTCCCTCCTCCCCCCCCTCTCGTCCCCCTTCACGGACCTCCGTGTCCCTTGGATGCCCCCAAGTTTAGGCGCAATCGGACGACGTTCACCCCGGCCCAGCTGGACGCCTTGGAGAAGGAATTCGAGAAGAGCCATTACCCCAGCGTCGACGTCAGGGAGATCCTCGCCGCCAAGACCAACCTCTCAGAAGCTAGAGTGCAGGTAAGGAAAAAAAATTGATGTCCTACTGAATAATCAAGGTTAATCGATCGACGAATCCGTTCTCGGAATCGCGCGTTTAATCGCTTGCAGTCATTATAAGAGCCGTGTAATTCCGTGGCCGATCTTCTGGTAAACAAGGTGACTGGACAGAGACGCTATTTTCACGTGATATCCTGTTCTTCGTCCTCTTTCAATGCCTCCCATCATGACTCGGCTTTTATCTCGAGTTACGCATCGAGGTGATAATTGCAGCCTTCTTTAATTATCCTGTCGACGAGGAAAGACGTAGAAGGAGGGAGGCTCTTCTCACGTGATGACAATTTTTTCCTCTCCGTTGCCAGACCATCGTGTATCATTCCTGAATCATTCTGTATATTTGCCGAAATTCCTCGCCTTACCACTTGTGTCAACGAGAGGGGCCGTATCGGATCGACCAAACAGCACTAGGAAGGTGCAATTTTTTTTTATGAGACACGCTCTTCCTTGTCTACTGACTTTTCCTGCGACGAAAGCACACTTCCAGGCATAGGTCGCTGACCCCGAATGCCAGACGCGACCCTGTCTGGATTCACATCAACGATGTCTTCGTATTGACATCAAGGAAATTTTTTCCGGTCAACCACTTTTAGACACGTTCTTTCACATGCGAATGTCGAATTTCATCTCTGAACGAAACCAGCTTTTGTTTCATTCGATTAACGTGGCAAACCGAACGCGTCATCCGCGATACGCCTCATAATTTCTAACAGCGAAGTAAGGAGATTTTAATCTTGCTTTTGCTGCTGCGCTGGTGCTTGCGATTGACTAAAGTCCATGTTTCTCTAATCCCAGGTTTGGTTTTCCAACAGACGTGCGAAGTGGAGGAGACATCAGCAACAGAACCGGCTTCGTCTCTTTGGCGACCCTTCGAACCCCCAACAGCAGCAACCGCAACCTCAGCCGGAAGAGGAGGAGGAAGGACAGCCACAACCAGCACGGCATCGGACGCCGCCTTCGCCGATGCGCGGATCGCCGACCCTCACGCCATCGCCAAGTCCTCCACCGCCGACCGTGAAGATGGGCGGGGCCAACAGTGCCTTCGCACCACCCCCGAAACGCACTCCCACAAACGGCCCTGAGACCTTGTAATTTCCCATTGTGATTGTTGGATCTTATTTCTCGTTGAACCAAAGAATCTCTTCGGCTGTAGACCAACGATGACCGTGCCGAGGATCTCGATTGCATTCCATTCGTGTTTCCCAATGCATTGCGTGACTTCATGACCTTTTTTCACCTTTTTCTCTGTCCCCTTATTTATTCTTTCGCTTTCATTCGGCTGTTTTCCGAGCTTGCAAATAAAACATATCTTGACATTTGTAACGAGAAGTTTCTCCTTCCCCCTTCCCCCACCCTTTCCCTTACGAGGGCTTCCGGAGGGGGTATTAACAAGCAGGAACATCAAAGACTCAGGGAATTATGATGCCTTGGGTATATCTAAACCTAAAGCTAAACACCATAAATTTCAAGCAAAGCATATTTGCTTGCAAGACTTGCATGCAGGATGATCCTGACAGCTACAACGGGGGAGGGGGACCCAAATCCGACAAGCAGTTTCAAAACCATGCAGCACAGCAAACGATCACAAGCGATTCCTATACTGCATCATTTCTTCATACGTCCGGAGGAACACTGATCGATTGACAACACTGCTCGCCTAGAAAAGTGCTGGTGCTCGCGTACTAGGCAGGTCCTCAGCGGCATCGGATTACGATTCGGGGTTATGGAAATTCCCACTTCACAGCATGTTGCCAGGAGCATTGTTAGCATGCAGGTGCATCTCCTCTCACCGGGAGGCGCTTTAGGCCTAGCCTATAACGTTACCCCAATCTAAAGACCTATCTATAGCTGATATCGAGTTGATTCTGCTGACCGGATCGTCATTAGTCAAGTTGGCGGCTACCCAGGGTTCCCCAAGGCGTGAATCATTTTCTTCTGCTTCTGCCCCGAGAGGGAAAATGATAATAATAATATGCAGCTACTGTTCAGTGGGTTCCCCGCCGAGTCAATCAAGAATTCATGCGTTTCATACAACGATAAATCCCGGCAAAGACACATTCGCTGCACCGCGGAGGGGGATTCTGATATCCGCACGCACAAATCATGGATCTTCCAAGTCTCTTTTTTTATTATTATCTTCCCACCGCCTTTAAATGCCTGCCTGCCGTGCATATCTAATGCTCTTCCCAGATTTATGTCCCGCATGCACACTGGGATTGCATGCGCGTGAAATTCCAATGCCACAAGGTCTACTGCCTGGAATCCTATCAAAATTATTGATATTGTTATACGTGCGTACACGTTCATTTCTTACATAAAGAGGCGTGGCGGGGATGCGAGAACCCTCTAATTATGGACAAAGGGACGGGAAACGTTCAGAGGTAGGAAAATGATATTATTTATCCCTCTTCTCTAACACCTGCCTCCTGAAAAATATCGACGATGACGACAATATGAGGGGGAAGGGAAAACACAAATTATCGGCCTCGTCTAATGAGACATCATGAATCTGACGGAAGTGAAGATTGGACCTTTGGATATATGGCCCAAGTAGCTGCAGTTGGAGCAGTGTGAAGAGGGACTCAAAAACGCGTCCAGGTCTCTGTAGCGTAGGCTTCTATAGTGGAGGCATCTACAGCATAGGTCTCTATAGCACAGGTCTCTATAGCGGAGGCTGGGTGCATCGGAATGGCCCAAGGGGGAGATCCGCGAGGAATTAACCACTCAAAGGCCGTTTATCTGCGTATCCCGAGTCAGCATTTTTGCCCCTTTTGGTCGGACACAATATCGGGCGTGATTACTGCAACACGGGGAAGGTTGACAAGGAACAATCCAAGTCATTTAGGGGATTCTTCACGCCCGCCGTGAGACGTGCACGCACCTTTCTTTCTTCCTCTCTTTCTTTTGAAGAACCCACCTTAGGTTTTTTTTTTTTCTAAAGCAAACCTTTTCTTTGGAGATAACCATCCTCTTGTCATGCCAGGTCACCAGGGTCCATATAACTCCTGTTTGAATTCCCCGTGAAAGGAATTGCCGAGCAATGCCTGCCTTTCAATCCGGGGATCCACGTTTGCCGAGGCGGAATTTTTTCCCTTCGGTTTTCTATTAAAGGCCAGAGCTTCCTAGGAAGACGGTGTTTAATAAAACGAGAGGCGTTGACTCGGGATGAGAAATACGAAGGCCTTTATCGGGGGTTAACATCAGGAGATCTCCATTCCCCGTGATAAATACGGGCCCTGATGATGCTCGATCCCCCCTCGCTTAACGAGCCTCGGCACGCGAGGGACCCCAGAGCCCGGCCGCGAATGAATATCGCTTCATTTCGCACGCCGTTTTCCCCCTTCGATTCCACGAAATCGCTGCGGGGACTTTGAAGGATCGGGCGGAATTCCTCATCGCGATTAACGGGATCTTCGTCGCCTTTCGTGACCTCGCCGAATTTCAACATTCCGCTTTTCCTAGCGTCTGCATTCGTTCGTTGCTTCGGAATGGAAAATCCCGACGAAATGGAAAATTCAAATTTCCACTGGATCCTTCTGCCATTTGTCCGGTGAAAGATTTCGAGTCCCACTCGCACCAAAGATTAAAGTCAACATGTATATGGGATAGGTCGAGGTTTTCCCCTATTTTTTTTGTGCACGAAGTTATCACCCAAAGTCATGCAGCTGACCAAAGAGTCGTGATGCAGATCCTACTGCACGCCCACGGTGTGGTTCAGAATTCTGTTCTTTTTTTTGCTTTTTTTTCTTCACTCCCCCCCACGACGATATTTTCTCTCCAAAAGCTTTTCCATATACTGGCTGCACGAGTACATTGTAATATTCTTCAGATATGCCAGCTTGAAACAAGGGAAATGTTTAATCCGAGCTGTAACAATCTCAACTTCGGTCATGTTTCTTCGCACGTGAGACATTTTCACTGTGCCGATAATATTATCAATCAAAATATGTTCAAATTAAACAAATTCCTCATATGTATCAATGTGAAATGTTTCTCAGATATTACGACGCAAGCAGATTTATTCTACGTAGATTACCACGTGTCCCTTATTTTTTTTGCCCACCTTGCAGAAACGTACTCGTACGCTCGTACCCTTGTACTGAGTGTCGATCGTGTGGATCCTCCACCTTCGGGAGGCGGCAAAGGATCATCCGCTGCAGCGGCAGAGGATCATCCGCTCCCGTTTCTGCACGATTCGCTCAAGACAAATGGAAGAAAGAGGTGCATACGCGTGTATGTATAGAGAAGTGTTGGGTGCGTGGACCCCCTGTGGGTGAGGGTAATCGGTCTCGCCCCTATACCCCTCACAGGGAAGGTGCACATCTTTCATTATCTGATTATACTCATCATCCCTCCCAATATGATTCATGTCACCCTCCCGCGCACTCGGCATTCCACGAGACCACGGATGGGGATCCGCGATCCGAATCACTTGCGGCACGAAGCGCTCGTTTCTTTCGTTTCCTTCACGCTTCGTATTTCGAATTTGCATTTTTTCGTTCATTTGCCGTCAAATGAAATCGGAAGGCTTCGGCCCTCCGCCGTTCCTGCCCTCAGACCCCCATGCTACATGGTGCTGTCTGCGTGATGAATGGGTGATGGAATTGCGTTTGGAGGCGGGGGTCCCGAAAAGTGGAAGGAAAAGGAGCCGGTACGAGGTGTTCATTGTAATTTCAGCCTTCTTGGCGCGTGTGGAAGAAGGAGAAAATGGAGTCCATTCATCATGGAGATAGGGGAGCAGGTCCACACCTGAAGATTGAGGAGGATTATTAATGAGGCATTTGTCACGATGAGACAGCTCCAAAGAGATTTTATCTCCATCGAGGGGGGAGGAGAGGGCGCCCCTCTGTTTCAAAACGCCCACTCCCTAATTGCTCATCTGGTTCCATCATCGTCCTCATCATCGGCGTCATCATAAACTCTTTTTTTTTTTCTCGCCTCCTCTGGAATCCGCGACGGTCACGATTCGCCCTCCCTTGTTTCATTAATTGAAAATTATCGACCAATAAGAAATATTCCATTCCCATTGATGCACGAGAGACGGCTGAGGGCGATGCTCAGGGCCTGATGCCGAAGTGGAGGGCCCATTATTTTCGGGTGGTCTGACTCATGGAGACTCCATTACGAGAGTCAAATGACATGGAATTGTTTCTCAATCTTCCATGGAATTCCTTGTCTTGCCTCCGGAATCCAATTAATTTAACGAGACTGGGATATTGGATTGTCACGGCCTTCGCGCCAAGGGCTGTTTCAATGGAGCCAACTTGCATCACCCTTGTACAAAAGGCTTTGAAAGCGATCGAGAAGAGGAAGAGGAGTCCGCACAAATATGTCCGTTTGTGTCTTTGGAATTCGAGAGGAAAATGACGATTTCACGGTCGGGTCGCAGGGATGTTCGAGCGGGAATTTCGATTTTCTGCGTTCTCTGGTGGCTATCTGGGGGAAAGGCAGACGGGTGAGACCAGCACGGTCTAGAGCCGGTGGACCGTCTTTCTGCTATCCTCGCGGACGCGAGATCCAGAAGGGGAGAGGTCCTAGGAGACAGGGGAGGTTCCGGAAGGTATGGAGGTTCCAAGGACGTTTCCAGGGCATCTCTGGTGAAGCTGAAGTGGGGTGGGGTTGGTGGGACGGCAGAGCACGGTGAGTCATTGCTTACGTTCTTCCCGTCGTGTGGTGGTTCCGCACACATGTAACCTCTCCGGGGCTCCAATTACGTCTTCTTGTCCTTCGTGATCCTCGTGCAAGGGGTAGTCATCCCACGGTGCATGTCAAACAACTCTTCACCTCTATTTTTCTTCCTGTGTCTTCTCCATCTCTTCTTCCTACCCTTTCTTTCCATCTTCCTCTTTCTTTTCCTCTTCCCGATGCTTGCAATTTTTTTTTTCATTTCGTCCTTTTACACCACGTGTGCCTCCTACTTCGGGTCTTCTCTTTGCACTTCTTCCTTTTCATCTCTCAATCCTCCATCTCTTCCTTCTCATTCCCTCTTTCCTTCTCGTTTTCCACCTTCTTCTTCTCTCTCCCTCCGTCTTTTGATTTCAGAATAACTCCTTCATCTCCTTCTTCGTGCTTGCGATTTTCCCGGAAGACGATCTCAA